AACTGGTGTGATATTGATTTTTGAATAGCTGCAAAAATAGAGAAATGGCTTACAATGTCTGAGACAACAGGAGGTTTTGCAAAATTAACATTAATTATTTTCCATAACACAGAAGTGAATGTTTCTGTTTAAATAGAAAAGATTTCAGCCCAGTTATCCAAACATTGACTATTAAACAACGTACTACGACATGGACGCCGCCATGTTGCATTTTGCTTGTCATCACTAACTACCAGCGATAACCAGTTGTACGTTCCCGGCGTTCGAGCGGCCGACCCAAGAATAACAAATCGCACGGTGTACTACAGCCGCCAAAATTGCGTCGCGTCGTGCCGTCATGATGTCGCATCAACAAATCACGACTGAACCGAACCAAAGTGACAACATTGCCCGAGTAAGACCGTAGACAAGAGGTGTGAAAAATGAAGAAAAACAAAACAAACACAACAAACAGAAAAAGGGTTAATTTTAATCAGTTTCGAGTGGGTTATTAAATAAGAAAATGGTCTGTTAATTCGGGAAATGATATTTTTGCACTAGAATTTTTTCTCCATAATCAATTTTGACTAAATGCGCACTATACAGCATCGCGTTACCATTACATTTTGTACACACACAATGGGCGATGACCTATTCAGTCTTTATAATGGAGATCAAGGGTTGCACCACACCAAGTGCGCGCCCATGGAAACAGGGCAAAATCAGGGCGAAGTACCGACGCGTTTTTTCACTGGACTATGGCCAGAAGATCGTTTCAATTTTATGGGGGTTAGCCAGGTGATTTTTTATTCACCTTTCCCCGAGGATACCCCACAAAGAGTAGTAAAACTGTGCACTCGGCTCTGAATGTAGCCGCCCGCCTCTATCCAAAATTTTGGGCTTTTGTGAAAGAAATGCCCCGAAGTAGAAACTATCAGTCCCAACTTCGGGATTTGGGACTGATCCCGTGGGATCATAAAATATTAATGAGTTCTCGCTTAGGAATCCAACGATTTGGTGGAATGCACCCATAGGGCCTACAAGATTTGATAATGAAAAATGAAAATTGAACTTAACTCTATCTCTAAGGACGCCCCCATTTCTACCAGTAGTGAGGCGACGGCGAGAGCACAACACGACGGCACGACGTCGACGCGACGGCACGACGCCAAGGGGCAACGGCATGACGCGACTACACGCGGCGACGACTGAAGGCCACGACGCAACAGGTCGACAGCACGACGCGACGCGACAGTACGGCGCGACGATACGACACGACGGCAAGACAGCAGGACACGACGCAACAGCAGGACGCGACGGCACGACGCTACGTCACGACGCAACGCCACGACAGCACGATATAATGCATTATACGCAGCATAAAAGTAACGAGAAAGGAGGCAACGCCACGACACAACGGCACGACGCGATAGAGCTGTCGTAGCGTCGCGTCGTGGCGTGAAATCGAGCTGTTCTTGACCATACGCGGACAAGCCCAAAGACCATATATACCGCAATCCACTCCGAGCAGAACAAAGAAGGGTGTTTTTTTGGAGGGGGGTTTTACTTTTTTTTTATACTCACCGCATATGTGCGCCATTAGGCGCGCAAGTACATGTGCGTTTGACGCGGAGCACGCTGAGTACTCGTGACCAATTTATTGCGGCACATGGGTGCGTTCGCTTAGCTCACACGTACACGTGTAAGTCAAACTTACACGAAAGCGTTTGTTTAGCCATCACGTGATCGTCGTGCATGCCCTGGTGGTGTCAGCCACCACTCCTTGGCTGGCGAGCAGGTCTTTGAAGGCTGCCCGAGTGTAATGACGTCACGGACGGACTGTTTGAGCATGGGCATGCACGGAACGTGGTGGGGACTTGACCTTTTTCCCAGAATGCCTTGGCGAACACACTGTGGCGTTCGATTAGCCTCATTTCGAGGCCTCCCTTGGTGTAACACTGGTGTATTCAGGGAAGCTAATCGAACGCACCGTATAAGGTCTTTGCGGACACGCAGAACGCGTGCAAGAACCCGCTTGGAAAACGTGTTTTGAGTAGGAGCTGTCCGTCTTTGAGTTTATGGGGCGGATAAATTAGTTACACGTACTCAGCTTACTCCTCGTCATATGCGCATTTTACTTGCGCGCCTCATGGCGTGCCTGTGTTTGTTTGCCTGTGCCGTTGATTTCCATTATCCGGTTCGTAAGTGACTTCGTCACAAAGGCGGAAGCGTCACGATTTCCAGGCTCTCATTAATTAAAACAATCGCTGGAGTTACGCGTTAACTTCCAGTTTCATGGTTCCATGTAAACGGCGATCAATGCATGTAGGCCTAACCCTACGAACTGGATAGACTGGATAGGACATCACGAAACGCGTCCCGCGTATGCGTATTTTCAGGAGGGTGAATAACGAGCGTTGTGACTTTCGTTGCGTGTACTTTCGGAGTTTTTCAAAAACTGGTTGAGGTTTTTATGCTTCAATAGTCAGATTTCGAAGAAAAACTGAATTCTGCACTTGGAATGGATAAATTTGGAAAGAATAATGGTTAGGGTGTACGCAGCAGTATTACCGAAGATCAACGTCAAGTTGGAAGAAGGAACAGAAGGAAAATTTTAGTTTCACAAAGTTTCTCAAGTTATACTTTATAATGCTTAACTTTAAGCCTATAATTAAAGGCCAAGTAAGAAATTTATGACAGTCTATCTAGCCTATCAGGCTTTGTATATGAAACTTCACTATCTCGAAGTTGGGACCGTCTGAAATGTTACTTCTTGGCAAAAGTGGTTTCAAAAACTGAATGACTAATTTGTCATTTATTTTCCCCAGATTTCATCGGAAAAATATCCAAGGCAGCCATGATTTGCGTTTGTCTGATCTAAAGACGCCCTGGACCGAAATCGTGTGACAGACGATGTGATAGGAGTGACACAATTCTTCTTCGGGGCAGAGATTAAAGCAAAGTGAGAAGCAGAGAGCTGACGCTTCTGTTGAATGAAGTTACAAACAAGGGAATTCAAAGTCAACGCAATGACAGAAAATTTGTCTACATAGCAAAATTATTCGTTCTCTGTTAAAACTGACTTTTTATGCCGGAAAGTAGTTGCTAAATGTAAATCTTTAAGTCACATTGTGAACTCAACTTTTTAAGCTGATTAATAAGTGTCTGTTTTAAAAACGGCAGTAAGTTAGTTTGGTCACTCATTTAAAGCTGCGCTCACTTTGTGCTCAAAAAAACGATTCTCACACTTCCGTAGGCCGCATGCCTCAATATATGAAAGGAATTTTATTAAGTACATTTTTCCTAAGAGTGTATAAAATTAAAATCATTTTATTGATGATTTTTTTCAGAGTTGGCTCATCGAAACAAACAAAACCTATTGCATATCATGGAGGAATTCTCAAAGTTTTACACACTGAACAAATCACGATTGAAGCGACCCAAAGTGAAAATATTGCCAAAGCGAGACCGTAGACAATAGGTGTAAAAAATGAATTAAAAACAAACACACACAAAAACAGGTTAACATTGTCACTTTCGAGTGGGGTAGTTAATAAGAAAATGCTCAGTTATTTCCGGAAATGATATTCTTGCATTTTCGGTTTATTTTTGGCTTGTTTTCGGGAGGGAGGCCGAGGGCTTAGCCATCATCCCATGAGAAAAAAGGTTATGTTGACCAGAAATGCACAGCATACAGCACTGCGCATTACCCCCCTGAAACGCCGCCATTGTTCGGCCGCGCATTTTGTGCATAGGCAATGCGCGATGACCTATTCTGGACCAGTCTATATAATGGAGATCAATGGTCTGTGCTATGCGGTGAGTACCAAAAAACAAACAAACAAACTAACTAACTAACAAACTAACTAAATAACTAACAAAACACGCCCTCTTTTGTTCCGCTCGGGGCGGATTGTGAAACGCCCGTATTGAACAGTGGCGTCTGCACGTGAAACCTGGTCTGTGACAATTAGGCAACAGTCATATCCAACTTTTTATCAAGTTGGTAGCGTGGCCGAGCGGTCTAAGGCGCTGGTTTAAGGCACCAGTCATTTCGATGGCGTGGGTTCGAATCCCACCGCTGCCAAGGTTTTATTTTCCTGAAATGGACCTTATTCACAAGAAAGCTATTTGGGTATGTGCCCGGAATCTATCTATGGGGGTGGTGCCAAACTATTTTGGGTCCCATGACTCACTCCATTTTTTATGTAGCTTCAAACATTTTGACATAATTAATCACAAATTTAAATTATTCATTATCATAAATGATATTTATTTATGATGAACATGAACTATTGCTTTCATTATATAATATTCACAGGTTCTCAAAACGAACAAATTTTCACAGACCTGTATTCAACAAAAGGTCTATCATAAATTCCAATACTTTGGAGCTACATCTAGGCCACTACGCGATAGGATATATCCCACCAGCCAGTTCTTCTTAGACGGCCGGCCTGCCAGGTGGGGGGGGGGCTCTAGTTAGAGCAGATCATACGAACACACATGGAAAGTGAATTGAACGCACCCTTCCTTTCCTTGTTTATTTTTTGCCGTGCAGAATGTAGCATCATGATCAGGGGCCTACAAGTCAAACTGAATAAATTCATTTGGTGCATTCCCCAGGATAATTTATCTTGGTGTCTTGAGTAACTCCGTTCAGTTGTGTGACTTATGATTCTCCAAGCCTAATCCAGCTTAAATCCCCAAACATACAATCATTACATGGGCTTTTTCTGCGAGACATTTACTTCCGCATGTCCCTCTCACGAATTCACATAACTCCCCTTGCAAACTTAATAGAGCAGTCGAGCGTCTACCAGAGTCATCAAAGGTCGAGTTCGTACCCACAATGCAATTGAAATACACGTTTGCTTTCAAGATCAGATAAATTAAACCATTTTCAATCTGTACATTATAAATATGAATCATTATTCTAAAATAATTTTAGTCAAAAAGTTAGATTTAATTACAATATAATTGAATTTTATTTTCTTTTAGTTGCAGAGTTTGTAGAACTGTGGACTATGGTAATGATCGGCCATGTTAACACTACTTCCTTTATCGGGAGTTAGCTGGGAATAGCAACTCTAAGCGATTGATTTTTCACGCTTTTCTCCCGATCGCCAAATTAGTTTTGAGAACTGAGCTTCACAATGGCTGCTAGACTACCTGCATGTGTTATAGACCCTGGGACGGGGTGAGTTGACCAATATTGATGTTAAAACTCAATGCGATCTGGAGACACTGTGCCAGGGCGTTTTCCAGTCATCGTGTATAAAGTTTATGGGGGCGTGCAGTACACGCCTGTGCACTCTGTGAATCGTGTGCAGTTTACTTCCTGTTCGGGAGGGTGTCGCTTCTATTCCTTTTTATGGAAATGATGCACAAAAATTTGACTATTTCTCATGTTATTCAACCTTTGTGCTGATCAGTGATTGCAACTATTTGGATGAAATATTGTATAAAAGTCATTTCTATTCACAGTGACCATGTAGCCCCACTAGTGTGGCACGCACTCTCACTCCCGATCCATCCTTAGCCACACATCCGTATACGCAATTTCGTGTTGACGTATTGAACATTTTTGGTGCACCCACTTATCATCGTGGGCGCAATTTCTTTTGCACACGAAAATGATTCTTGACCTTTCCGCTTTCTAAAAACCATTTATTGAATGATTTCACTCACGTTATTCAGGTATTTTCCAGTCTTTTTGCCTTTATCCATTCAATCTCACAGGCTCACTCTCACAGTCGCCATCTTTAAAATAAAGTCGTTGAACGTTATGTCACTTGACCCCTCATCGTCTCGACAGCTGTTCCATGTCAAGACATATGTAATACACGGACTGGTCGATAAGATACTACATGTACCAAGGGCTCTTCCGAAACTTTGGCAGCAGTTTAGATGTCTTGACAAATCATGGCATATTATTGGCTGGCTTGCAATGTCATGCTGGCTGGTGGGCACTATGCTATTCAATCCCAACTGAAACCGATTGCATGTGCAGTAACATAAGGAGTCTGGATTTTATGGAGTCAAATTTTCAAGGGGCACCTACCTATCAGGGAGCTTGAGGATAGTCTGATGCCCTGACATCTACAGTTATCTTGCAATGTACTGTGCGCTACAGCCCAGTCTAATGTGTGCAGGGCAAGCATAGTTATTCACTAACGATGTGTGGTGTGCACCAACATGCCTTGCGTACCTTGGCTGTTAGATTCTGTAATCCAACGTAACACAACTGATCCTAAGAATGGTTTCAACATCATCATCTTTGAAGAGTTCCAGAAAGCAACCTTTCAAAACCCAGCTGGGAGCAAAATAGCACATTCTGACAGCGTCATGCAGAAAAATACTGCTTTCTCTAGCAGAATACTGATTTTCCGCCTTCAGAATACTGAAAGCTGAGTTAAAGGTTTGCCTCTCTGTTTGAAATGCAAATAAATATTCTACAACCTAATTATGGAATAGTATGTTGCTTATCAGAAATTTCTTACTGTAAACACAGGTATACAAAGATGGGCTTTGCTGGGAATACTGAGCCACAGTTTATTATTCCGTCAGGTAGGTATCCAGTTTTCATGCTCTTATTCAGTTTAAAAAATGTTTGCTTCTGTTTTTTTAAGGAACCAGCTTATTTTCTGAACAGTAATGTTTAGCTAAATGTACATGAACTAGATTTAGATGAAAGCCACCTGAGAAAACTAGGGATGCGAATTGTAGATTGAACAAAAAATCACTGAAAGCAGCATCTACTTAAAGACTTTCATTGTTTTCATGTAAATTTAGTAATCACTGAAGACCAGAATGGTAATGACTCTAGTCAATGACTCAACTCAAGTCTGAATTGAGTCACAGTTTTGGTAACTCAACTCGATTGCCAGTGGATAAATGACTTGACTCAAGTTACTGTGAACAGATGACTCAGCTTGACTTTAGTCCCTCATCAGAAGACCTGACTCAAGTGAAAGTTAATAAGACTCAAGTCCAAAACATAAAAGCAAATGTCTTTGCAAAATTCAGTTATTTGGAGTGATTTACAGAGCTGGTTTATAATGTTCATGTTATGTGTTATTGTCAAGAGTAAGTATTGTCAGAGGTAAATTTAAAAAATACAAAAGTGATTTTTCTCTCTTTTTTATTCATAGCTTTGTTTTCAAATATTGGTGACTCAAATTGACTCAAGCTAAATATTTGACTCAACTCCACTTGACTTTTTTGCCTAATGACTCGACTCGACTCACTACGTTGCAAGGACATCTCGAGTCACAAAATTAGTGACTCATTACAACTCTGCTAACAATATGACCAGAATGGTTTGGGTCTTGGAGTGCATGGTTAGGAGTAGTTTGATTTCATCTTTGCTTGTAATAGAAAGTAAGTTGTACTTTATCTCAAATAGGGTACATGTATTTACTCCAATTTCCATAACAACAAAAGATTTAAAAATATTCTGTTGAGGTAAATTTGATTAAGATACATGTAAGTAAAGAGCTACACTTATTAAGTCAAGAACTACTAGTAAGCAAGCTTTTTGTAGTCGGATAAAAGTAGCATTACCTATGACATGAAACTCTTAAATACTCTAAATCAATGTAGCTATGCTGACTTACAGTATGCAATTTGTCAGCATCTCTATTTGCAGCTAGTTACTAAATACGAAGCTCATATCGTTCATTTTTTTGTAGCTATTGCCATCAAGGAGACAGCCAAGGTAGGCGAGCAATCACAACGCAGATTAGCAAGAGGAGTTGACGATCTGGACTTCTTCATTGGTGATGAGGCAGTCGACAAGCCAAATTATGCATGCAAGGTCAGTCATGAAGAGGCAAGCCCCAGCTCAAAGTATGGATGAGATTGTCCCTGGACCCACACTGACCCGCCCTCCCCCCAATTTCATAAGTGTTTCCATTGGAACCGTTGTTGTTGTGCCTTTTTTTCTTTGCTGGAACTTTGAAATGTCAAGTTTGTAGGTAATGTTTCTCCCATGAAGGGCATGAAAATATTGCTAATGCACACATCACATCGTGCTCTTTTGTACAATTTCTAAACCGTTCAATGTTCCTGCTTATAGCAAATAAAGTGTGGCATCAGTGTGTTCAATTTGCTTTGACGTTCAATCATATGTTATTACCATGATGTAATATGATAGTTGTTGACTGATGCAGTGTGTGTCATGGATGTTTTTACGCCCTTCAGACCCAGGGCCCCCTCAGCTTTGCTTAGGGTGCTGTGCATTCCCCAAGTACCCCCACAAGCAGAGTTCTTGCTGAAGTACAAGTGACCAGTGACTGAGGGATATTTGTGGGATGTTGGTGGCATTGCTACAAAGGTTAAAATGATTGAATTTTGATGCAGTTGCTGGCCTAACATTTCATGATAAGGCCAGTGCATGCATGATTGCCACACCTAACAATTAAATTTTGCACCTTAATACATGAACTCTCCTTGATGACTATTAACTGTCTCAAAGGCTTCAACGTTCAGTGTCCATCGATGTCCAGTGTCCTTTAGTGTCCAGCGTTCACCATTGTGCAACTGACTATAAACCACCTTGCACAGAGGCACTTTTGCTCTGGTATGAAGTGTCACTTTGACCAATCTCCTTTCTTTGTCCCCTTTTATTTTAGTACCCTGTGCGTCATGGTATTGTCGAGGATTGGGATCTCATGGAAAGATTTCTCGAACAAACCATCTTCAAGTATCTCAGGGCTGAACCTGAAGATCACTACTTTCTTATGGTAAATCAACTGAATCATTGACATACGCTTAAACAAACCAAGATGTAGATACCGTCTTACAAAAGAGTTTTAATGATTTTTTCGTAATCACAACTGATTTCATTTTACTCTCGCTTCTCCAAACAATTCCTTGGCAAATTATTTGTTGATGGGATTCTTTACATTTGCCACACGAAGACTGAAACATACTCATTTTTGCATTTGGAATATGTCCTCTGCCGAACAGTGCAAGAAATGTTCTACCAAAGTGAATGCATTTTGTTCTGCTGTTGAGCGTTGCTCCCTTGGAAACCACAATATGTTTTCCATCTTTTTTTCTCACAGACGGAACCCCCACTGAATACTCCAGAGAACCGTGAATACACCGCAGAAATCATGTTTGAAACTTTCAATGTTCCAGGATTATATATCGCCGTACAGGTAATGCAAATGTAGAGAAGTCAGAGAAATTGGATTGTACAACTTCCATCTATTTCATTCTTGTAGCAAGAGACGACAGAGAATTCGTGTTATTTTTTGCACTGCTGTGCACTGCTCAGGATATCCTGAATTATGTCACACATACCTCCTACTAAGCACATCCTTGGGAGTGTGGATTGTCTATGTGCCACATAGAAGTCACATATAGTACCTGTTGATGTGAATTGTGTAGGTTTCTGAAGAAGCCAGGGCCTAAATTCATAGCACTGTTCAGCACCTGATTTTATGCAAACACAGGTTCCATGTATTTCAAGGAAATTGTAAGCAGTAAGCACGGTAAAAGGCATGCTTACATTGGAGGAAAAATTTGTTTAACATTTTTACAAAGCAGTGGAAATCTCTGTGCACGCTAAACTGTAAGCACAACCAGGCCAAGCACCAGCAAGAAGTAGTGCTTATGGTTAGCAAATTTATCTGCTATGGCACGACGTTTCTGCTAACTGTTAAGCAGCTCCGTGAAATTGGGCCCAGATAGTGTGATCCGAGTACTTGGGCATGTGATTATCAGTAGAAATTTGACATTTGGAGAAAAAATGTGGAAAAAGTGTCCCAACTACTTGCGAAAGAATTCATAATTGAATCTGAATTCTTTGGAAAACATGTCCACGTTTTGCATTCATGCAGTGTTGTGTCTAAGCGTCTTCCTTCTCACTGAAAACACTCATCCAACATAGATGGGCCTTGGAATGAACATTTGATTCCAAGTGATTTGATTCCAATCTCCTTATATTTTTATATAACAATGAACTGCAATAGAGCAGCGTGGTCATAAAGTCCATTACAAATCCCTGCAAGTCCATCACAAGTCATTCAGTCTTCAGCCATGGTACAAACTGTTCAAGTGAATGGTGACAAAAGCATTCCGTTATCATTGTTCACCCACGACTGGTCTTGAGAAAGGACTTTTGACTGGACTTGTGAAGGGACTTATAAAAGGACGTGATTGATTGGACTTCAACACTGCAGCATTGGTTCCAAGCCACATTATACAAAGCCATTCACCAATTTTCCTGAGAGGCATATTTACACCCAGAGTGCATCAGCTAACTGATGCTTTGTCTCTCATGCAGGCCGTGTTAGCTCTGGCCGCATCCTGGACATCGCGGCAGGTTGGGGAGCGTACCTTGACGGGCACTGTCATCGACAGCGGAGACGGAGTCACCCACGTCATCCCTGTGGTATGTCAGAGGAGGAAATAAGTCCATAACGAAGCTTCCTGATTGTCGCAGATGCTGTTTCATTTTGCAATGCAGAAAAAGCTGATGTTGGAGACATGAATCTTTCTTCGTGTCATGACATAAAAGCAGTCCCATTTGTGTATGGAAACAGATAATTATTTGTTTATATAGTTTATTGCCGAAGAGTATACATTTTGCCATTTGCAGTGAGGATTCAGTAATTTCTGACCTTTTTGAACATGTGCAATTCAGGCTTTTTATGTATAAGTCATGATCTTGAGGGCTTTTGAATAAATTTGTGAATGTGGTAATAAGCGTAGATACACCTGATGATCAGCTGAGGGACTGTATATGTAAGAGGTTGACCATAAAGTTGGCAGGTGGCCTGTACAGAGATGAAATCCATCGAAGTCCATCCATGGTTATTTGTTGATGCAGACTATTTCTCATCTTAAACCTCCTGACAGGCCGAAGGTTACGTTATCGGCAGTTGTATCAAGCACATTCCCATTGCTGGTAGGGACATCACATTCTTTATACAGCAGCTGCTCCGTGAGCGAGAGACTGGTATCCCGCCAGAACAATCTCTAGAGACGGCTAAAGCAATCAAGGTAACTCTGGGCCTCTTAAACCGCTAACCCCAAGCTAACGAACCTAGTTGAGGTTAGCTTTTTTTCAAAGGTGGTAGTCATATTACTTTTGTAATCAAAGCACACATTGATAATTCAGACTGATGGAGGGTAAGCTAAATGTGTACTGTGTAAACTTATCCAGTTCATTAGTGTGACATCACTTCAGTTTAAACCACGCCCACTGCACATGCACTGCACATAGAGTTGCATGCATTAATTGCCGTTTCCACGGAAGCGTTAGTTATTGTGCAACTTCGGTGATCGTCCAATGGGAGCCTGCAAATTGTAGCGCGCCTGCCTGTGTGACGAAGTCATTTACGAACCAGATAGGAGATCCGTGTAGTGTATTGAGTATGTCACAAACCTACATAAAATGACGCCCTGTCTGATAAACCAACCATACATATTCATTCACATGTGAGCCCTCTGCATTAAACAGTTTCACTCCTTCCAAGACTTAAAAAGTAGTAAAAAGTCAGAAAAATGTCAAGTCCCTTTGTTCTTTTAACTCACAGGCTTGGTTGCAAGGTACACTTTTTTCAAATCAGACCAGAATACAAAGTTTTGTTGCATATTAACTGAGTAATGTACTTGTCCTCTTTGCACAGGAACGATGGGGCTACATCTGCCCAGACATAGTTAAGGAGTTCAACAAGTATGACAATGACCCGGGCAAGTGGATGAAGAAATACGACGGGGTCAATGCCATCACCAAGAAGCCTTTCTCTGTGGATGTCGGATACGAACGTTTCCTGGGACCAGAGATATTCTTCCATCCAGAGGTTGGTTCAAATTTATATGCAGCTCAGTTACAACAGCCTCAGAGGGGATGTTATCTGAAAGATTTGTTCTGACCAGGGACATCTGACCAAACCTAGACTGGGCATTCCCCAGTCATCGTGTACAAGCAAAAATGAGGCCTGTTTCCAAGTCTCCCTTTTGAATTGTAATTCTTCTACACGGAACCAGACGCAGTACAGACGCACCAAACAGGACTACACGATTTTATCATTCTTAGTGAAGAGGAAACGGACATCCATTTTGTAGTGTCATGTCCAGTCTAGGTATTGTTCAGATATTTATGGTCTCAATAAAGTGCGTGTGGACTGCAGTAAGGGAAATTGAATGGACTTTGTGCATAAGTGCGCCCTCACTGGTAAAAGAGAGATACTGCGCAGACATTTTAATGAAAATTATGACACACATCACAAAAGTTACGCACTGCAAAAGTCCATGCTTGCACAACAGATTTTGGTTTAACTTTATATGCAGTCATTTTCAGAAGCATAAGTTTCTGACTAGATCAGAAATGTACGTAATGAGACACAACAAGAAGGCCTGGTTCCTCAGTGAAACAGATTGAGCATTGGGCCTAGTATGAAGACTGAGACAGACTCGGGATACGTGTAGCTTACAACACAACCTTGATTTACTGTTGACTCACAACTGTCATAGGCAAAAGCCAGAGAGACAAATCTCCCCATTACATGAAATATCAAAGTAGTGAGCCTCATCAATAAGTAGAGTTTTCCTACACATGCATGTATTGTACATACACAGACTGTACATGTGTGTCGTTGCAGTCATTTTGCGCAGCTTGTGTGGAATTACATAAGGTTTATCATATTACCTGTAGCGATTACATTTACATTCCGCTTGTTAACCTCAAATGTTATGCACCCAACCAGTTGAGCTGGGGCCACCAGAGGACAGTATCATTACACCAATTTCACTACCATCGTGGAAAAGAAATGTTTTTCATGCTATTTAACTTCTTTCTAACAGTTCAGCAACCCTGACTTCACAACCCCAATCTCTGAGACAGTGGACATGGTCATCCAGAATTGCCCTATTGACGTCAGGAGACCTTTGTACAAGGTCAGTGAAAAATGTTTTTGAGAAATGTGTTTAGTATTCCTATATGAACTTTACTGAATAAGGAATTTCCTGGCAAACATCTGTCTTGTTCTGGGGTAAAATGACATTAGTTTCTGTATGTACATTGACGACAAGACTCTTCTACTTCAGAAATCAATTTTACGTTTTTGCACCCAGACATACATGCTCTATTAAAAGAAATTTGCCCCATGATCACTAGCTGGGAAATGTCATCACAAACAGTCTTCATGATGAAGCTCGTTACTTTACAACTTACACTTCTTTTTTGGGGGAGGGGGAATGTACTTTCAAGGGTAGATTTCTGCAGGAAATATCTGCAATCCTTACGTACATTCTCCAAAAGCCTCCAAGGGAATATGGAGGATGTTGGAGGATTGAGGCTGCATGGCAAAAATATATGGCTGATCCATTGGTGTCGTGGTCTTGGGCTGAGCTCGTGTTGTTTATAAATGCTCTGCCATGCTAAAATTCAGGCCAGGATTATACATGAATCATCCACACTGCTCCAGGATACCATTTGCACTGTCATGACATAATGTCAGGAACTGCCAGAGGATTTTGAAGGGTTTAAGGCAGTGGTCACTCCTTCAAGGAACATGTTCAAGAAGTAAAAGAGGATTTCGGAAGATTGAGGTTGCATCCTAGCACAAAAAGCAATGGAATTAGGGTTAAAGTTTACACAGAAATAGTCCTGTGTCTCCTGATCAGCTGGGAACCAGTGAGAAGCAGTGTACCAGGGCTTGCAAAATTTTTAAAAATGTAGTTGCCCTTCGGGCAGGGGAGTCTAAAATCTGGGTGCCGGAACTTCATTTTCAGTTGCCGGACAAGGCAGTTTTAGCCACACGTGGTCTCCAAGCTTTCAGTAATTACAGTCATTTTCCTAGTTCCCGATCGCTTGAAACGAATAGGCCTATACCACCTTTTTGCTATTGCTTTGCAGCATTACACGCTAAGACGACTTCTTTTTTGAAAGGTAAAATGAAAGTCTTGCAGTACAAATTTTACTCCCAGAAAATTTCAAGAAAAGGAATTCTGGCTAAATTTCCAATTCGCGCTTCGACGTTTGTTGATGGTTTGTCAAAAATCCCGGGAGCACAAACAAATCAACACCGGAAAAAATTACAGGTCGGTAGGTAGAACGTTTTTCCTAGTTTCAGATCGCGCATGCAAGTACATGTGCAAACGTCGTGAACTCAACTACACGTGCGTAACAGATTTGTACATGACGTAATGGGTTCGTCAACTTTGCGGCGTGGGGGGATTTGTGGTCGACGGCTCGCTGAGCAGCAAAGTCAAGTCCAAAGTCATGCAGGCTATCCATGTTGATGCACTGAAACTCTAATATATAAACTAATCCCCTTTAAAATAAGACTTGCTTTACTAGAAAATGTGCTTGTTACAATGGTTTTGGCAGAGAAATGGGTTTACGCTTGACTACTTTTTATGTGTAAAGAAATTTTTGAAGCAATCCAGAACTGGCTTAACCGATCCAGAAGTGGGAAAAGTGTCGTCGTCACTGTTGTCAATCTCGTAAGACAAATTAAAAGCTCAAAAATTTGAAAATCTACGTGGAGGCCTACAACGTAGATCTCTGACCCCATTTCATTGGAATTTGATGATAATTGAGCTGTAATATGACTATAGTCTTAGCGATCCGGAACAGGGAAAAGGACCGAATACAGACACGGCTGCGTTGTTCATGCCAACAATTCGACTGTACGTACCACGGTTCACCTACCCGAACATGTAGAGTCGTGCAACATCAAGGCAGTCTTTTTTTGCAATCTTTTTTCGGTGCACGGTGCTGAAATGTCCAAAACGCCGGGCAAAAAATATGTTGCCGAAAACAGGTGCTTGCCCATCGAGCTGGCAGGCTGGAACATTTGGTTGCCGGACAAAATATTTTGGTTGTCCGGGACGTCAGACTACCGATTCTGTGAGCCCTGGTGTACTCCGTAGAGCAATTTGCTGCTTTTTTGTGTAACAGCTTCACAAATGAAACCAGGACGAAAGATTCATTCTTTTGTCTGATCCCTTCCTCTAGAATATTGTTCTGTCTGGAGGTTCCACCATGTTCCGAGACTTTGGACGCAGGCTACAGAGGGATGTGAAGCGAACCGTTGATGCCCGTCTGAAACTCAGTGAGGAGCTCAGTGGTGGAAGGATTAAGGTTTGTTCACTTCTGAACAACTCGCCAGCGGTATTCTTCCACAACAAATTTATTGCACAAGTTTCACCCTGAAACTTTCTGTACAATTCCAGATATCTCGAGTAGTCTTTTGTCAGCCACCTTGTTCTTGTTTCCACAGCCAAAACCCATTGAGACGCAGGTTATCAGCCACCACATGCAGCGCTACGCCGTCTGGTTTGGAGGTAGTATGCTAGCATCAACGGTAAGTTGCACATTATGTGACCCAGTCAAAATTGTCCCATGTGAAGGGTTCAAGAGATCTCATCACACATTCCCAAGTTCTTGGACTTGGTTCTTTTCAGAACTGGTTTATTTTTCCCCAATCCTTCCCTTCAAATTTTATGAGTTGATGAAGTCTAAATCTGGCGTTAGCAGTGTGTACAAACACCCAATTCAAAGCCTCTCTTTCTTTGAAAATGAAACTCAGTTAATATGCTGACTCGCACAAATCACATATATTTTGGGTAGGATATTTCATGGGTAGGATAAAAGTTCAAGAGTGTTTCAGTGGAAAGATTCTAATCTGACATTCTGTAATTTTTTTGTTACAGCCTGAATTCTACCAAGTATGCCACACAAAGTCCGATTACGACGAGCATGGACCTAGCATTTGCCGACATAACCCTGTTTTTGGCGTGATGTCGTAGATAGGCGACTACCAAATGGTGATAAAGTGTTTTTTGTCTCTCCTTGGGTGGGTGGTACCAGAAAATCCTTTTACAGATAAACACTGTGAAACATATATATGCAGCATAGCCAGTATGAGCCAACTGCATTCCAGACCATTTTCGTTGGGTGACAGGACAGTTTTTTCGCTGCCTTTCTCAAGCCTTTGATTTATTTTCAAGAATAGTTAAATGGCAGGAAGTAGCTTGAAAGTGTTCGAATAGTTGTGAAGTTGGTTTCTAAAGAGTTCCATATCTAAAAGAAGAAAATCTCTCTGGGGGTCTATTTACAAAATTGCCTAGTTACATGTACATTGCTTAGTTCCCTGAGGCATTTCAGAGAAGGAAGAGCATGGTTATGCGTTCATGGTACCACCTACACCATAGCAAACGTTTATATTTTGAGCAAATTATTTCAATGCCTTTCTTGAAAGTAAGTGTAGATTTAGCGAATACCTAATCCCCGTTAAAAATAACATCCTGAGATGTGCAGTTTATGATACGCTTAAATAAAACTTTATAAGAATGAAGCATTTTTTTGTAAAATGAACAAAATGCCTTTGACTAGTGAACTAAACTGTAGAAGTCAAAGCAGTGAAGGGGCACGTATGCACATGATTAGAAATCCACACTGCGTTTACTTTTTTATTCAATTATTTCGGAAGTTTAAAGATTTCATGCATCGTGTGAAGGGCTGGTTTTGGCATACAAATTACAGTTCATGTGCACAGGACAGTACAGTTAAGAGTGGAAACAGGAATTGAATATTTGCATATTCCAACTGTAAATTCCTCTCATGAATATTAATACACTTTACTATTCATGGCAGGTTGACTGAAGGTTAAAGGTCATGCAAAAGTTCAAGATTGAAATTGTTTATTGCGTTTTGGTTGACTGTGTTACCAAATTACTAATCCAGAAGCATTAAACCAAAGCTTGGGATGTTTTTAGGGATGTTTTCTAAACAGCAACATTTTCTCTGTTCAGAAATAAAAACCTAAGTTTAGGACAGAATAATGGAATCATCTTTCTGATGCAAAGATGTCAGTTTTTTCCTTTTTGCCATAATGGATTATGAGTATCTGAAGCTATGAAAATAACAGAGATGTTTGCAAGAGCTAAGCTGTAACACCTAGTTTTGACAGTGACTGTACCAATGGAACTTTTTATTTTTGTCTTCATTTAAAAAGGCTTCTTAGAGAGCCCATAGGGTATTTTTGTTAAAGTTAGATTCTGCTTGGGGAATATATCTTGAACGTTTAGTAGTTGTATTATCATGTAAGCTTTTTCCCCTTGTTGAATTTTTTTAGTCTGATACCCTGTGTCTTTGGAAGTGGTGTACTTTCCAGTACCGAAAGCCTCTTCACTGGTTTTACAATGATACCAGATGAACGAGAACCAGTCATCAATGAACCAATCACTGGTGGTCTTTCTGAAGAGCTATAAAAAGTCTCTGAAGCAAGGATTGTGCCCCGTCTTGCAGTTTTTAAATTTCCCAGCGTTTTACATGATCCATGCAACTTTCGTTTCCATACGTATTTAAGAGTGTTACCAAACAATCAATGATAATACCGATTAAGCAGATTTTTGTAAAATGTATGTGAAAATATAAATATTTCAATGCATTGATTTTGAAAACATGATTAGTTGGAAGGTTTTCTCTTGGGGAGTACTTACAGCTGTATAAAATGAAATAAAACATTTAACAAGAAAAATTATTGCCATTCTGTGCATGGTTATTGTGATTCTTTTTTTTTATACCTTGGGGGGTTTTCTCCTAAGGAAGCCATCCGTAAAAACCATTGAGACACTTGTTTCACCAGTCGCTGTCACTTGTTAGGTCCTCACTGGAATTGAAACAGTCATTTAATACTTTTGGGAATTTAGTCCATGAGTCACGATCAGTCTTGATTTGAAGACCAAGCTTTTAAAAGCATTTGTGCGATCCTGACTATTAACTTTCAACGCAGAATTGAAGACTTGTATATTAAGGTCGACGCATTTATGTCTGTTTAACTTCCTACCGCACGACACGATTTTGAGGTTTCTCTGCAATAATGTCTGACGGTAAAAGAAGTACGGTTCTTGCAGCCTTGCACCAAATAGGCCGTTATACAAGACAAACAACTTCGACGCCGACAGTGGTGTAAATTTGTGCCGGAAATTGGGGTGGGGTGGGGTATGACTTACCCGGTCATGAAAATTTGAAAAGCGGGCGGGGGGGGGTGACACCGTATGACTCTACATAGAGGTCGATGTTCATGATATTGATGTGCATCTGTAATACGTATTCAGAATGACATGGCTTTGTTTCCCCTTTTTGAGTGATATTTCATTGAACGCATTAGTCTTTAGAAAAATTCTTCACAATCCGCTTTAAGTATTTGCTCACCACAAAAAAGTGATGGGGAGGGTATATACCCCCGGCCCCATCCTCTAATGGGATTCACACCCATAGACGACGAAGGAAAAAATAGGAGAAAAGCCGGGAAACAAAGCAAAGGCGCGGTTAGCTGCTTGTATTAAAGTATTCTCGGTAAATAAGATACTCATTAGATCCAATCGGCAAAATTGTTTCAAACCTTGAACTGGACATGAGAACCATCGTCCTGAAGGGATCCAGCTGGGCTTGAACTTCTGGCGTGCATGATTTCCGTCGGTTGTCGGAGAAAGTGGACAGCTTCGGTCTGCTCGGCAATTTAGGTGATGCAGCAATCGGGGTAAGCGCCATGTCCCTCTCAGTCGTCGGGATGTGAGGAGTGGTCTTGGTCACCGTCAAGGAATTCCGTTCCTGCGGGATTCTTTCAGATTGAATCGACAGGTCAAAGTAAAATTCTTGGACTTACTTATATACTTCGCAACTCAAACTTAATGAAGCCGCGCCTTGAACTTCAAAAGCTAGGAAACTTTCTACCCAAGGTAATTCAGTCAAGACGGGTGATAAAAGAAAATCAACCTGTCTTTAGTCGATCCTCCAACATCACGAATCCCCGCCCTCTGTCTACACAGTCGACAGGATATATTCCTGGGAAGACTTCCAACCAACAGGAAAGAGCCTGATCCGCATTCTTCGCAAATGCTCCTGCGCAATTGGTTGTCAGGCCTGTCAATCATTGGCGATGTGTCTGAGATGGAGGCGCGCACTCTCTGCGGTCGTATCGGCTTCTTTAGCGTGGTGAAGGAGTCCACCAAGGCGTCTTTATTACCCGTCAACAGATGACGTTGTTTCCAAAGACCGCTGAGGATGGCAGGTGCACTGGATGTTGTCTTGGGTAAGCTCTGAACTTGCGCTTGAGGAATTGTTGCTGCTTTGTTTTCGGTTTCTCTGGCAACAACGCTTTTGAGTGGTTGCCTTTCATTTAGCTCTTCTGCAGCTGGGTGGGTGACTTGCACAATTCTTATATACCTGAAAACGGATATACGACTTACTCTCCTAATCTTAAATGTAAAACTATATTTAAAAAATATCATGAGAGCGAATAGAGCAGTAATTAGATATAAAACACGTTTTCGTCAACTGTTAAGACAGTTTTCCAAGGTGGTCTAAGTGACGCTGTTAGGCATAAGAGGGAAAGAATCAGATAAACATAAACTATAATTTATACATAAATAAAATTTTAGCTGTCGTGCTTCGTTTCGAGGAGAAGAATAGCCCTAGTAAGGAAATCTTCGAATGTTCTCCGTCATATTAGGTGCATTATTATCAGGTATTACTTTGAAAACAATTGCACATCTTCGTATCCCAATAATGCCCACCGCAGGTAATTTTGCGATCAGTGCTGACGCTTGTCCAAGATACAAAAAGAGATAGCATTTGATACCCTGGGGCAATGGGTGGATGGGATGATGATCCGGTTGTAGGCCTGTCTCCTTCGATGTAAGGTATTTGGCAGGGAAGACTTGTGATGCACGGTGCTGAGCTAGTGGTGAAAACACATGTAAAGATAAGTTAATAAGGTATAAATGTACTAACAAAAGCTAACGCCATCTCCATTATCTTATCAATTCGATCACTATCATCTATTCACTATGATCGACAGAATCACAGGAGCGTAGCAACCGGGGTGGGGTGCGCCCCCCCTTCCGCACTAATTTTAATGCCAGTCGGCACATGCAGCTTCGGTCGGCAAATGATTCCAAAATTTGTACATAAACGATATATACACCTACGTTGGCTCTCGGTATTTCCCCTAAAGTATGAATTGTAGCGTACCGCGGATTTCCATTTTCCGCTCTGAGTGAATTTTACACTACATGTGGTTGGCGAACAAGTTACAAGTCGGCAAAGTGACTCTTGAAGTCTGGCACCCACCCCCCCCCCAAAATGCCTTCGCTACGCCCCCGCAGCGTCATCTTCATCACCACCATCAGTGCAATCAACACTAGTGTCACCACCATACCAAAGAGTATCTAAATCATGAATACTTGGTAATGAGTTCAATTAACGTCTGCCCTGTCAACATCACGGTTTTCTTCACATTCGTCTATTGTTGTTGCATTCCTCTCTAAATCGATTAAAAAGTATCTAAACAGGTTTAGTCCAGCCGATAGATGTTAAGTGCATGCGATATTTTCATCTACCTACCTGATTTCATGCTGAGCAATTTGCGTGTAGAAAAGGAAATCTTTTGAATCCATGGTAAGTGCCTCCCGTAAACGTCGATGTTGTCTAAGTGGTGCAACGACATCAGAGAACATTGTTTCTGTAAACATGCATTATGCAGGAGCATGGTAGGCCTATTACAAGTGGGAGTTCCACGCGTTTTCTAAACGTAATTATTGTAGGATGCTAACTTTTCACAATTTAAGAAAGGAGGAATCTTGAGGGTAAAAATAGGAAGTCTTTGATTATTTCTAATTTCTTGGAGTACAGGAAAGGAAAGTTTTATAACTAGGCCTAGTAGGACAGCCTCTGTGTTGAACTCTGCGTTGAGTTATTCGACAGAAACAAACAGTAAATTACCTTAACTTGCACCACAAATCATGTTCAGACCAATGTGTACCTTTTTGATTGCCACAAGCCATAGATTACAAAAGCCCCGGACGTAACAGCAGCAAGTGACATAATGAAAACAAAGACTATGCCAACATCATTTGTAGAGGTTGAAGTCAGTCTTAGGCGCCTATGAAACTCTAAACCATCATGGCTAGAGTTCGTCTGCGTTGGGATGAGATGATGTCGGTAAATATCGTTGTCCATAACTATGTTAAAATGGGAAAAGAAAATGATACATGATAATGATAAATGAATCGCACGTACAGGTTGTGGTATGCCGTACATCGTGCTTTTTATTTTAGAGAGGACATGAATTCGGCTAAAATCATAACTTCACAGAACACTAAACTGAAAAAAATTATGTGCGTCTTAAAAACCCTACAGATTGGAAAACGAAAACCGAGAAGTAGGCAGTCTGCAAATAAAAAGAAAATGATACAGTGTATATGTTAAGTGCAAAATTTAATCAATCAATCATACATTTTCGTTCATTTCCGTGACATGACATGTAGCCTAATGCAATGACATCATAGGTAGCAAAATCGTAGTCCAGAAAAATTAAACAAACCAACCTTATGTGATTAGGCCCCGTCACAATACGAATTGTGGTATTTTACATTCACGCAGAAATGTTTGAAATAAAAACATACCAATCTCAAGCCTCTTGAAAGAATAGCAACACCTTGCAATTTATCTAATAAATGAACGAAACGAGAACAGTCTTCACTTAGTGCAACGAGTGCGTGTGGAAGCGCTTCGATGGAAAAAAGAATAGACGAAAAATTCTCACACACGCAAACAACGGTGCGCCCTCGCAGGTAGCGTAAAATAAAGAGGCAGATGCGCGTATGAGGAAAAAATCATAGCGTAAACGCCGGACCGTGGGTGCTGAAAATCATTTTTAACTGTAGGTTCTATATTTCTTTGCTCCAGTATTTGTGCACTAGCCTTTGATTCTCTCTTCAATTTCGACTTTTTTGAACTTGTGTAGTGTGCTACAGATTATCAGAGTAAAAACTATCCATCGTCCATGTCATCCGATCAATTTCTTAATAAAGTGAAGGCAACGGTGTACAAAAAATCTGCCATAATAATGATGCACAGCCTGTTGATATTTTTGGGTATAATAATAATGACAGTCAAGTGATATTATTTCCGAGAATAGTAGATCAAACATACAGTTAATTTCCTGTATAGGGCCATTTTAGGCCCAGTTTTATTTTAGGCTTATAGTTTTAACTTCAACGGAATTTTCCAAACAATGGGGAGTTTCCATAGAGCTATATTGATTTATTTATATATTGCTTTGCGGGATATTACGATTGCGTAACATCAACTACTAAGCTATATCTTCATCTTACTTAATCGGTGCATTATATCTAAAAGCGGTTTCGATGTCAGACGGAGACGAAACCCGATCGAGGAGACGCTTGCCAAAATCGACAAAATTAATGAGCTGGCCAAGATTTTGAGACACTGCAACTCAAGAGGGCGCTATGTATGATGAATATCGTATAAATTTGCATGCTAATGTACTGTATCCGCCACTAGTAGTACAGTATATTCCAGCACAGTGAGGTGAAGCAGTGTGACTGGCGACTAGCTGCTCTGTGGCCGTTTTTGAGCAACTTATTTCCTCTTTCCCATTTGATTAAGGGTTTTACCAAATACCCAAAATGTCAGTAGACCCTCTAAGAGAATACTGATATACATTTTGAGTGTATTTCAAAACTCGAATGGGAAAACTCCATCGTGGTCTGTGATCCATCTGCACCTCTGTTTGACAGTGCACGAAAATGGCCGTGTACATGTACAGCTGACAGACAGCTAGCCATTTCCTTGTAATTTCCCCCATAAATAACTGGTCTGAGAAGCGAACTGCGGAGTCCCTCTTGTTCTAAAGACCCTGTTGAGGTTATCGAGGATGGCGAATGAACCAAAAATCACATCAATCAAAGAACTACGACCGGGAATGAAAAACCTAAACATGGTTTTTATCGTTCTCGAAATAGGTACAGTATTCCATGACGTCACTGGACTGGTATTCCAATGAGACTGCGTCCTCCCTCTGAAAAACTTTCGACTCTGGATCATAGAGCCATGCTTAGTTACAGCTCTATCCTTTTGATGTATACAACAAAAGATAGAAAATTGAGAGAACACCATTGTTAATTAAAATGAGACTTATCAACCTGCAGTTACTAAATTATAAGATTGGGAATTTTGATTCAGTGGAAATTATTTCGCAGTGGAAGTTGAAACTTTTTCTCAGATGGGAGATAGAAAGTTGGATTGAAATTGGCATCTGCATTAGTAACTGCCTTTGTCACTGATGCAAGTTGCCTTTTTAACTTACAATCATATCCCAACTGCACTGATTCATGTGTTAAAGCTTTTCATGTTTCTGTATGCATCTTTCCTCATTTTAGATATTCATATTTCCTTTTTATTTATGAATTTGCAGGTACATCTTCGAAAACAAAAGATGGCCATGAGATCCGTTCGTGCAAGGTAGCTGATAAAACAGGTTGCATTAATATGTCTGCGTGGGATGAGCTAGGCCGTGTCATCCAAGCAGGTGACATGCTGAAATTAACAAAAGGGTAAAAAGTACTTTCAAATTGTCATCATTTTCAAAGCAAATTAATTCTTGGAAATATAAATTATGACAAATGAAGATGGAATTTGTAAAAAAAATTGTGCAAACTTGAATGTTCCAAGCAGTGAACTTTTTTCCCATTTGTCATTAGTTTCAAATGTTCACTTTATTAATTTTCTGTGTTTGTGTTTTAGATATGCATCCCTTTTCCGAGGTAGTTTAACACTATACACGGGAATTGGAGGAAAATTGCACAAGATAGGGGAGTAAGTATTTTTAATGATTCCATCAAAAAAAAAATTAGTTGAAGGAATTTTTCACATTTTACTCACAAAATTATCATTAACTTGGACTTTTTTCTTTCCCCGTAGCTTTTGTATGGTATTTTCCGAAATTCCCAATATGAGTGAGCCTAACGCTGAGTTTATCGCACAGCAAAAAGTAGTAAGTACCTTTACAATCTTGTTTTCAGAACTTACAAATGCAACTTGTTTTATATTTTCTTTTGAAATGATGAAAAATTGAGGCGAATCTTAGTTTATTAATTTTTGTACTTGAAGAATTTGCAAGAGCAACGAAGTAATTCTCCAACTGGGCCAGGAGCCAGTGATGGGAGGCCACCAAATAACGGAGGTATACGCATAAAATTCATTGTTCTTTGTTTCATGTAGGAATTTTACATTTAACAAACTTAATTTGCAGATAAACAAAATTGAAAACTTCTCCAAGAAAGTGGGAAAGTGGTTTACCTTTCCATCATGTTTCGATTTTGCTTGTGTTGGTTGTTCATACAATACAAAATATTTTACTTGAGGCCGGTGCGATGAACTAAATTCTGTTGAATGAATTCTTCTATTTACTGTTTTCCTAACAAGACTGGGCTTTAAGTTTTCTTTTTGTGCAGTTTATTATGACGAAATGTGTTTTGAAAAGTGTTGGAATTTTTCAAAATGAAGTAAAATGCAATTTGTTTGGCACAGAGATAAAGTAAATTCAGACTCTTAAAGGTATTGTTTTCTCCTGTATTATCAACCATCTAACTACAGACATGAAATACCCATTATATGTTTGTTAGATTTTCCAGTGGAGGGTATTTCTTCAGTTATTGTGTATTTTTATATTCATTTTTTTGGGACAGGACCAAGGATGGGGCCCAACGGCAACCCAAACCAGAAAAGTACATTCGAACAGCAGCCGCCAAGACCTCCCACCCCACCGATGGGCGTGAACTTTCCTCAACCCCACCCTAACCGCGGTGGAATGGGCCAGGGAGGTCCAAAGAATGGTATGGGGCCAGGCTTTCCCACTGATCAGAGAGGGGGGAGGGGAAGAAGAGGAAGATAACGATAGGTTCATCGTGGAAAAATAGCAGGTGGTTTAGCATGAACAAGTACATGCATTTTGTTGAGAGATGGAATGAAATGACCAATTTCTTTTGTGGCTGAAATCAATATTCTAACGTAGCTTTGTGAGATCATTAATAGAAGGAGAAATAAAGTTAAAATGTAGGAAATGGGAAAGTGTCCTGAAGGAATGAGCGTGAACTGATAAACGTTGTCAAAGTTGGCCCTTCAGTATAGGAAATCATGATATTGTGATGAATTACAGTAATTACATTAATTAGAGGACTCGTATTATTCTTTCTTATTCCTAGTTTATGATTCGTATATTTGTTGAATATACAATATTTACTTGTGCACCAGCCTCATTTGAACTCGATGTGTGGACTAGAATGATCATCTGTTGAAAATGAAAAAACTGCTGATTTTGTTTGCTACCAAATCAAATCTACAAAAGCAATCTTGCTGTTTGCAGTGTATTGTTTAAAGTCTAAAATGGCTTTGAGTGGAAATGAATTTCAATGCGAATATACGCTTCAAGCTAAAAACAGTGTAGCTTTATTTGAAAATTCTTTGTTTTTGAGATTAACTGGTACCCTGTTGATATGATATGTATGCCTATGACAGCCAGTGAACTGGCCTGTTGTTTGAATATTGCATAGACAACTTCCTTGTACATGTAACAGTTCGAGATTTCCACCCTAAACCCATGTATGTGCACAAATACACATGCCCCACAGATTTGCTCTGAGCATGTGCATGTTTTAGTGGTTTTCATATTTGTTAATATTTGTACATACATGTACATGCCAGGGATTTCATGGAAAATAAATGTATAATGTTGGTCATTCATCGTATGACAACCACTTTTTGCAGAGATGTTTGAATTTGGGGTGAAATAAAATAAAAACAAACAAACTGCTGCCTGGGTAATTATTTATGAAATGGACAAATTTCCTTTTGGGTGTGTGTGCGTGTGTGGTATATATTGGCTATAGATTACTTTTTAAAATACCAAAAATATGTTAGGAATTTGGAATGCATGTTCACAGCATAATTGAACTCTGCATTGAAACTACAATAAATGTAAATTTCTGTCTGCCTTTTAGACATGTATAGGCATATAAAGGTTGAAAAGAATGTACGATTTATGTATGGTGAAATTTTCCGTTTCATCTCCCAAATAAGAGTCTCTCTTCTGAAATAGTTTATATGGGCAATTTCCAACAGGCCCATTCTAAAGCGCTCGCCGTTTACGTACCAGGAGGAACAAAGTCTGGCATTACCGCTTGAATGCTAAAGCATGCATTAGCCGTCGCATTTATAAGAAACATCGAAATGTGAACTTGTTCCCTGTTCGCAGTAAGACATTTTCTTAAAAACAGTTGCTTGGCACCAGCCTAGGTATATTCTCGCGCCATGCGCCAGCATGCGTCAGTGACGTGCCAGCTCTCTTCCGAGATCAGAACTTCTGATCGTTGTTTTCCGACAACATGCCTCCCAAAAAACAGCAACAACCAAGCAAGAAAACGGTAGAAAAGAAAAAAGACAAGATAATAGAGGTGAGGAATTGTTACGTTACATGTTTTCATGAAATGATGAATCGAAATACCAATTTTTTGTTACAAGTATAGCCACTTTTTTGGTGGCAGGTCGATGATGTCACCCAAATTATTAGTTACAGACAGTGTATGACGTGTGCAGTGTCATGAAGGTATTTTTGATGGGTACACACGTGTTGCACAATCTGTTGGCAGTGGAGTGGTTCATGCGTGAACCAGTTCAGAATTCAGATCAGGAAAACAATGTCTGTGGAATTGTGAAGTAAAGAATCAAGTCAGATGATTCTAAATCAGCAGACATGGCAGATCAGTGCGGAAAATGTTTGTGTTTCTGAAGCTTTAGTAAAGCACATAATATTAATAATTATAGTAATAATTTATAAAGCGCAAGTTTCATATAGATATGTTCAAATGCACTGTACAATGAAGACATTAAGCGTTGAACAATGAATACATTTAAACACGGTTGAGCTGATGGCATACAAGGGCACCTCGGGCAGCTGCCAAACGACCCACATTCACCAACGGGGGAGACAGTAAGAAGCAGTTACAGTTTTTAAAGGTGGGAGGAAAACCCCAGAGGAATATTCTGGGTAAAACCCACGGAGTCAGGTAGGGACTAAAAACCCAATCCACATGTGGACCAGGCCGGGAATCGAACCCGGGACCACAGAGGTGGAAGATGAGGAAAGAACTACCTTGGCCAACCTGACAAGGTGCATAATCGATCAGATGATGTGTAAAAACATAAATAAAAACATGGACATGTGTGCTTGTTTTGATGGAATGACCAGGCTGATGAAGCTATTTGCACATTGCAGTATCAATGGCTACAGCCTTAGAGATACAGGCATAGCATGATTTCAACATTCTAGTTGGCATTACGTATTGCTAATCTATATCAAGTGGAGAAGTTTCAGATATCTGTCTGTGTATGATTCCTCATTAAAATAAAGCATGTGCCACTTTTCATGCATGTAAAAATGGACTTGGGTTCGAGTGCGACATCAGTAGAACTCAAATCCTGTGTTTACTGTCCTTAGATTTTTTTTCTTTTCTTTTTGTTCATTTGGTAGATTCATGCACAAAAATAAAGAGAGTCTGAGATCCATTCATTGCAGACTTACCTGGTTTCTGTTTTCAGCGAGGGAGATCGATGCATCAGTCTGTAGATGGTTGCAAAGTGCTTTAACTAAAGCTGTTGTGTCATTCCTCTTTTTTGAAAGAGTTCCATATATGGACAACACTGATTTTCCCTTAACCCCTTCGTGCTGGGACGCAGATAGAGACGCCGTAAAAATTGAGATCCTCAGCCCACTTTTCAGCTATTATTCTCGGCCCACGCTCGAGCGAACACGGTGAAAGAAGGCAGACCCTGGCTCTTGTATAAATGGTAATTGGTCTTTGTGCGTAGCCCAGAAATGAAAAGACTGAATTTGCATCATAATCACCAGCTTCACAATAGTCCCCACTTTGAAAAGAGGCAACAGGAATGTGGAAGCGTGAGTAGAGCCGCATGCCACCGAACAATGAGCCTTTTCACTGTGTAATTCAAAGCGTGCAGAGCACGCAGGGCCACAAACATAGAATCTGCGGTTTGGCAGGTGGCCTTCGTGGCCAAGCGAGGCTGGAATTCTTGGAGTCGGCTCTCAGGAAGAAATTCCCGTCGTCAAGGGGTTAAAATACTATACCGCGGAAAGTGATAACATGTCCTCAAAAGTGAAATTTGGCTGAGAAAATTCTGAAGCATTTACTTAGAAAGCATGTTTGTTTCAGACAAGTCATATAGGATTGTGCACAGGTCATCAAGTGTTGTCTGTAAATGAAACACTTTTCCCTTTTTTCTAATTCACAGTGGCTATTGTTACGGAAGTTGAGACAGATTTTTGTCTGCTTTCTTGCGCCAGTCGGGTGGATTGGAAACAGGAACCAGACCACTCTACAATGAATGGATTTTGGACTTCATTTCCTTTAAAAAATCCTCCGGGGATATAAATCTGCCTCCCAACCCACCCCCCCAAAAAGAAAAACATGTATGAAAGTAAACATGCGATCTGATTGAGAAAATAAAGAAATAAAGGAGGGAAACAAAATTTGGAAATAAAATTCCATGATGAATAGTTTCTATCCAAGCGCATCAGAATTGTTAAATGTTCTTGATATTTTAAGGGTACCTGGTTCTGACACAGAACAGGTACCCGGTTCCAAAAATACCCATAAACGCACCCCCCTTAACGTTGGATTTACAAATGTTGACCTTAGGTGGGTATTTGTTTGCAACATTTCTTACTGCATCATGGTTTTTTTAAAACTCTGAGACTCTGCTGTGGAGCAATTTTTTCTATGATGCTCAGCCATGACCGATGGCCATTTGAGGGTGATAAGCAAACTTAAGGTCCCCCCAAATTAAATAGTTCTACTTCCTCTGGCCTGACTGGTCCTCTTTTTTCTGCTTTGTATTAATTAAAAATCTGCTTAGTATCTTTTCATTCTTCAAACACATCTCTCAACAACCTTCCTACATAAATAAATGTTTTTTCTCGACCAATTGACCCTGATTTTGAAAAGCATGTAATGAGAAGCAGAAGTTTGTTCTTTGTCTAACCTGTGTAGATGACATACCGGTAGTTTGAGTCTTTTTGTCAACAATTGTTGTCTGTGGTTACAATACAGGAAATGTGCAGGTGTGTGAGTTTGGGTGCGTGTGTGTACATGCCATCGGGCGTGAATATGTTCAATTTGTTGAAGTAAATATTAAGTAATGCACTCATCTCAGAAAATTATGTGTACTTTGCAAGGCAGCCTAACCATAGGCTGGACCTTTGTACAGAGAAAATGACAGAATTGTTCTTTTTATTATAGGATAAGACTTTCGGTCTGAAGAACAAGAAGGGTGCTAAGACACAGAACTACATCAAGACAGTCACCAACCAGGTCAAATATGGCAATCAGAAAGCCAAGGTAATTGCTTTAGCGTTCTCTCTACCATCCTTTCAATTCCCTGCTCCAATTCCTCTCGCAGTACCCCTTCTACTAACAAAATCTTGAGAACAATTAAAAGTAGCAATAAATAAAACGCGTTTCATGCACACTGGTTGTAGACAACTGCGGTTCATACATTGAACGGTGATCATGACTACTCCAGTTCTGTGACGTTCTGGTTGTTAAAAAGAGAATACAGGATGAAAGTTGCATGAAAGTGCCAATTTTCAAAGTGCATGTACTTGCATATAGGATGTCCCCTGACGACTTGTTAATAGTGAGAGACATGACTGAAGCACTGATATGCGATCATCCCCCGTGGTTTATTGTTGTCACTGATGTGTTAGTAACCAGTCACTGAAAGACGTTGACAATGTCACTGTAGAGTTCAAATGATCAGACTTTGATGTGGTCGCTGGCCTACACTGTAACTCTTCATGACTGGTCCGGTACATGGTGGATTATCACACCTAATAATTGTGTCTTTGAAGTGTATTTTGTGCACTTAGCATGTGAACTTTCCACCTGTGGACCTTCAGTGTCTGGTGTTCGACCCACTGCGACCCACTGTACACAGGCCTGTAATGGTTGTAAGCCTCCAAAGTGAATGTTACCAAAAACCGACTACTGGCTATATATATGTACTTTTTCCACCTTCTATGAGTTGTTTGACTTTGGTTCTGAAAAGTACGGGGGGCTTACATAAATGGCGTTTCTGCTACACAGCAGTGTCATTTGAATCATTACAGTGTCTATTTTACAGGGCTCTAAGTCTTGATTTGAAGCTCTCTCCAGCATCTAACCTCAACACTGACTGTGTTTTCCTTCTGTGGTAGGCTAAAGAGCAGCAAGAACAACTGGACAGAAAGTCCAAGAAGAAACAGGAGCAAGAGGAAATTAACATGCTCTTCAAGCCTGTCACTGCCCAACAGAAAGTTGCAAAGGGTAGGTTTCTTAATTTGCAGTTGGCAAAGCTTGCTCTCCTGATTTTTAGTTGCTTTTTTAATGGCAACATCCAAGGATGAGAGTAAAAGGAAAAGAAAGAGGCTATACAAAGGTTTTACGAACAAGAATGCTTGTATTCATGAATGAAAGAGAGTTTGATTGAAAAGGATAAAATCAAAATCAAAAGTAAAAACTAAAACCAAAACAGACCAAAACACCCTTCAAAGTAATGCATTTCAATTTTAGTTATCTTATTTTAAAGCCTGTCCACTCTTGTGTAGAAGTGAATATAAGAAAATGATTTCCCGGCAGATCATCTCCTATTATCCCTTTTGTCGCTGAGCCACATGAAGTTGGGCAGCCAGTTACTACGGCAAGCAGATTGTTGGATGGTCATGGATTGAATTTAGAGAAACGAGATGGATGAATTTGGATAAATACATTGACCAAAGGGTTCAAAGTTTGGATCCTCTGTGGAAAATACGGTTTAATCTTTGTCAAAGTTGTAGTGCAAGTCAGTGGTTGAAGACGAAAAATGATTTTGAGATTTACCCATGACTTCTGTGTAAATCCCAACTCAGCTCTGTAGATGTTGCTGATGATCTTGCATTTTACTTGACAGGTGTGGACCCTAAGTCTGTAGTGTGTGCGTTCTTCAAGCAGGGAACCTGTACCAAGGGGGACAAGTGCAAATTTTCCCACGACTTGGCCGTAGAGAGGAAGTCGGCCAAGAGGAACTTATACGAGGACACCAGGGAGGATGACCTGGCCAACGGTACAGTGAACTGACACTGAAATCTCACTTTAGTTTAGAGCTTGATTACACTTTAGACTCTCTGCAAGTGTAAAACTTGAATGCTAATAATAGTTGGCTCTTATTCCCAGAACTGCGCACGGTTCTGTTGTTTAGCGGTGAAACCGTTTTGGCAGTCAAAACACGGCTTACCGTTGCTTGGGAGACAGCACACAGTTTGTAGTTCACACTCATCACTTTAGACTGGATATGACGCTAGCGCTGTAAAGGCAACAGTGTACTCTATCCAATCTACCAGACACAGTTGACATGACAGGGGTTTCATGGATCAGCCTTGGTGATTTATACTTCATATCCTTTGTCGCAGACACAATGGACAATTGGGATGAGGAGAAGCTGAAGACAGTTGTCGACAAGAAACACCAAGAAGAGAACTCCAAGAAACCCAAAACAGACAAGGTCAGAGTTCAAGTCGAGGTCAAAATCATAAGCCCGGTATAACTGTAACCACTTCCTGCCGGGGTTCCCGGTACTGGAGACCTGAGGTATATACGCATACCCGGGGGTGCCCGAAATCGGAAAAAGGAGCTGGGCCTTGTAACAAAAAACCGTACTCAGAGCAAAGGACCGAGCTGCTGGGAATTACCAACATTTTTTCAGTTGTCAATAGCGAAGGTAATCCGTCATTGTTTTGAAACAGTATACCACCATTTGTGGCATTAAGGGAAAATTGGATTATCACCAGGGACAAAAGTGCTCCAGAGATGAGCGCTACAATACCGCTGCACACTAATTTGGCTGCATTTGTAAAGACACCAGCAGCGCACTGAGCCAATTTTGGGAACAAAGGAAATTATGCAACACCACACAATCTGGGCTCTCTTTACAAGGCGGCAGGCTTGGCTGCAATACTTGAGTATCAATAGATGTTGTCTGTCAGATTAGAGTAGCCACCAGACAGTCATTCATGTGGGTGTAAACGTCTAGTAAATGAAGTTGTGAATTTCTGAAGAATTTTGAAGGCGGAAAATTTTGAAAACCCCCGGGGAACTTGTCGTGTAATTCTAATTAAACCCAGCAGCATATGGTTAACTTGACAATGAACAGTGTTCCCATATAGGCTTTGTTGTGAAGCTTTACTTTTTTATAAATGATGCTCAAGAACTATCACATCCTATTTGGTATTTTTGCTGTGTATTTCCTTGCAAGAGGGCTAGACTTGTGCAAGTCCTACAGTTGTTGCCCGTCTTGTTATGGCTTTAATTGCTCAGCTTAATTTACCCTTTGAACCACAAAAAATCTCTGGCCATCATTTTTGTGTCCTTGTACATGTACTCTTTATGCACCTGTAAATGTACTGCTCTAATACAGGTGCACCTATGTGGGTTCGGCCAATCAGATCACAGGAACGGCATAACAACCAATGAAATTCAGGGAGCTGCAAAGGCAATACCTGGTCAAGTAGTGATTGGGCCAGATTCACCTTGCATTTAGTGGAGATACTATGAATCTTTTAGTGAAAGAAATCCTTTTTTTTTCTGTAGGTGTGTAAGTATTTCCTTCAGGCCATTGAAGATTGCAAGTACGGTTGGTTTTGGGTGTGCCCTAATGGGGGCGACAAATGCATGTACAGACACGCCCTCCCTCCAGGCTTTGTCTTGAAGAGTCATAAGAAAAAGCAAGATGAAGAACAACCAGAACAACAGATAACAATAGAAGAACTCATCGAAGAAGAGGTACGTAGGAAGTGGATTGTCACATGCTGAGTCTGGAGTGTCTGAGGTCTCAGTGTAATGTCAAATCGTGCAATTCAATTCAAATCTGGAACAGCAAATCTCAAATGCAGAGACTCTGAATCTCTGAAATCACAGGTCTCAAGTCCACTGTCTTCATTACCATAGAATAAAACAACCACACTGAAAAATGAGAGATCGGGGCATTAAATGGAGAAAACTTCAACCGACAGAAAGGCTGTCACCTGACAATTCTGTGGAGGGGATTGAAAGTAGATGTAAATTAAATTATTACTTTTGACGTTCAAATTTTCTTTTTTGTCTTTTTTCCGTTGCTCTAACACAGAGGTCAAAGTTAGGAGCCCAACAAACGAAGATAACCCTGGAGACGTTCCTCGAGTGGAAGAAGAAGAAAATTGCTGAGAAGAAGGCACTCCTGGAGAGTCAGCTCAATAAG